CCCACCAGCAGTGAAGGAGAGTCCCTTTTTTGCCACATATGCACCAAAACTGTTTGCTTTTGTTCTTTTGGATGTGTGCCAGTCTCTGTGGTGTGAGGTGGTATCTCATAGTTGTTTTGATCTGCATCCCCCTGATGATTAGTGATGAAGAGCATTTTTTCATGTGCCTTTTGATGGCTGTTTAATTTCTTGGTAGACTTGGCCCCAAGTTGTTGGGGTCCAGCTAAAGGCATAGCAACAATTTTGAGGTGTCAGAAAGCCTGAAGGCACCATCAGGCTGCTGATGCACTAGCCCCAAATGTACAGGTTGACCAGCTGGCGACACCATATCCCCTTTTTCCATTAGGTCATTTTGATATTTTGATATGTGCCATTATCACTGGAATAAGATATTTCAATGTTGTTTTATTTTTGTTTGGGGCCACACCCAATCAGTGCTCAGAGACTATTCCTGGCCCTTTACTCAGGAATTTCTTCTGGTGGTGCCAGGGTACCATATGAGATGCCAGGAATCAAACTTGGGTCAGCTGCATGCAAGGCAACTGGCTTACCCTCTGTAACAGTTCTCCAGCCGTTCAGTTTTGTTTTGATATACATTCCCCTAATTGTGAGTGATGATGAGCACATTTTTACATGCTTGTTGGACATCCGTATGTTTTCTTTGGGAAAGTGTCTGTTGATCTCCTTGCCCCATTTGTGTATGGGGTCATTAGATTTTTGTTGTTGTTGTTGAATTTAAAGCACTCTCAAAACACCTTGAATATTAACCTTCTATCTGTTGTATTATTGGTCTGGACCCTGAAGAGATTTACTGTTTTCCACTTCATATGCTTAGCTCCTTTTTATATATTAGCTGCCTATATATCTGGAGACTTAACTCAGGACTCTCAATTGTGTTCCATTGGTCTGCAGATCTATCTTTATTCCAGGATTATGCAATTTTGATTATTATTATTGTAGCTTTGTAGTATAGTTGCCTTCTTAATGCTGCCATATTGGGGCCTCTTTCAGGGTCAGGGGAATGAGATATACTGTATTTACTGTTTTTGGCATATCGAGTATGCCATGGATAGCTTGCCAGACTCTGCCGTGCGGGCGGATACTCTCGGTAGCTTGCCGGGCTCTCCAAGAGGGATAGCGGCATTTAGGGTGCCTCTAATCGCCCTTGCAGGTGTTCCCACGGTTTCAAACCATATTTGAACCCCATTAGATATGGTGCGGTTGTCTTGGAAGATGGGTATTAAGTGTCTTATGGTGTGCCGCTTTGCAGCCACACGGTTCGGAAAGCGGCCTGGAGTGTGGCGGCAGCTGGGTAGAGGAGGTAGTGGAGGTTGGCCAATGAGGTATTTATCTGGTACCGGCAGGGTGGGGACAGAGATTGGTGGAAGCAGGCAGGGTAGGGCAGGGTGGGTCTTCTGGGTTTGATCCCTGGGTCGCTGGTGATTGGTGGGAGCAGGCAGAGGATCTATGTTTCTGGGTCCCGTTGAGCCTGGAGTCCCAGGTCACAAAGTTCTGCTTATCTGGTTCTGTGGGGCTTCACTTGTGCTTGAGTCTTGGCCTGAGACTGGCACTATTGCAGCAACAAGGGAAGATACCATCATTGACAACATTGAAGAAGAATATGATGGCCTGGTTCAGCACCTCCATGATTGTGCAAGGAATGCCGAGAGACAGATAGCCAAAAAAGATGACTGTCTTCATAAACTCTCAAGCTCATTCACCAACGTGGCTTGGTACAAGTCTCAGGTAACCACAGGCGAACAACCGAGCTCGCAAAGCAGTACAGAGAAGTGATAAAGGAAGACCACAAAAAGAGTAGAGCAGCAGTGTTGGCCGATGCGGCAGAAGCCGGGAAAAGCATTCGCAATGCCCACCTGTCCTTCGCCAACTATAAGACCAAGATGACTGCCCACCAACATCCTGATGGATCTATCACATCTTCCAGAAGGTCAATGGAGAAGATTATCCATGACTTCTACTCGGATCTCTTCAATAGCCACGTCCACCTGCCCATATACCAAATTCCGCAGGATGGATATGTCGTTTCCAACATTCTCCTTTCTGAAATCCGACATGCTATTTCGTTGGTAAAGAAGTGAACAGAACCCATCCCAGACAAGGTCAGACCTGAACACCTGAAGAACCTGCCAACAGCACTCATCAATACACTGACTCGGCTCTTCACACGATACATGTCTGAATGCAAGGTTCCGTCCCAGTGGAAAACCAACAGGACTCTTCTACTCTACTATACAAGAAGGGAGACATCCATGACATTGGCAACTATCACCCGATCTGCCTGTTGTTGGTCGTCTACAAGCTGTGTACTCGAGTCATCCTGAATAGGATTGGGCAGAACACTAAATGAAGGACAACCATTCGAGCAAGCCAGGTTCTGAAAAGGATTTAGTATGATAGACCATATCCACACAATAACCAAGCTCATTCAGGTTTCTCGGGAGTTCAAGATGCCACTCTGACTAATGTACATTGATATAAAGAAGGCCTTTACTCTATTGATACTGAAGTGGTCATTGAAGCCCTAGCCAAACAGGGCATTCAAACTCAATACATCAGGATCCTCCTTGAGCTGTATAATGGATTCGCTACCAGGAATCTCACCATTCTACAGGAAGTGATCATCCATGTCAAGAGAGGGGTTCTGCAGGGTGATATCATTTCACCGAACCTCTTTAGTGCCACCCTCAAATATGTCATTCCTGGAATGGGAAGGAATGGGAGTGAAGATAGGCGGCCGGCAACTACACCACCTTCACTTCACTGATGACAACATTCTAATAATACCAAACATTAGCCAAGCAGCACAAATGCTGGCCGACTCTGATATCCCTGAAGAACAAGGATGTGAAGATTCTCAACAAAATATTAGCAAATAGAATTCAACAACTCATTAAAAAGATCATACAACATGACCAAGTGGGATTCATCCGGGATGCAAGGATGGTTTAACATTCGGAAATCACTTAATCACTTAATCACTTAACTTCCCGTTAGTCGTCGATTTGCTCAAGCGGGCGCCAGTAACGTCTCCATTTGTCCCTGTCGCGTGCTAGTGTAGCCCAATGGCATCTGTTCGTTCCGGGAACATGAAGGGCCTCAAACCGATCGTTCATGATCTTGACGAAGAAGTCTGACCATCTGGTAGGTGGGCGGCCACGTGGTCTCTTGACATCCCGTCGAATCCAATCAGTAACAGCTCTAGTCCAACGGTCGTCTTTAAATCTCATTACGTGACCAGCCCATCTGATTTTCGACACCTTGGCAAATGAGACAGCATCCCTGATCCTTGATCATCGACGGATGTCAGAACTCCGGATTCGTTCTCTCATTTGAGTGAAACGTGATATTCCAAGCATAGCTCTTTCTATTCTTCTTTGGGAGACCTGAATGGCGTTCTCATCTTGTTTGCGTAGGGCCCAGGTCTCTGAGGCATATGTTAATGCAGGAAGAACAGTGGAATCAAAGAGATGTGCCCGGAGCCGGAGGTTCTTCGTCCTCTTAGCTATTTCTTCGACGTTCTTGAAGGCGTTCCAAGCCGCTCTCTTCCTCCTGCGCAGCTCGGGTGCCAGGTCATTTGTCATGTTGACCTCTCGACCCAGGTACACATAGCTGTTGCATTCGGAGATGGTCGTTCCATTGAGAGCGAATGGGGCGTCAGGAACAAGGCTGTTTCTCATAAACATTGTCTTTGTAAGATTCAGCTGTAGTCCTACCTTTCCACACTCACGGTCAAAGTCGGCCAGCATTTGTGCCGCTTGGCTGATGTTTGGTGTTATTAAAACAATGTCATCAGCAAAGCGGAGATGGTGTAGTTGCCGACCATCTATCTTCACTCCCATTCCTTCCCATTCCAGTCGTCGCATGATGTTCTCGAGGGTGGCACTGAAGAGTTTCGGTGAAATGGTATCACCCTGCCGCACCCCTCTCTTGACATCAACGATCACTTCTTTGTAGAATGGTGAGATCCTGGTAGTGAATCCGCAATACAGCTCACGGAGGATCCTGATGTATTGGGCTTGAATGCCCTGATTGGCTAGGGCTTCAATGACCGCTTCCGTCTCAACAGAATCAAAGGCCTTCTTTAAATCAATGAACGTTAGACAGAGCGGCATCTTGAACTCCCGAGAAACCTCAATGAGCTTGGTTATCGTGTGCATATGGTCGATGGTGCTGAATCCTTTGCGGAACCCGGCTTGCTCGCATGGTTGTCCTTCATCTAGTGTTCTGCCAATCCTATTCAGGATGACTCGAGTGAACAACTTGTAGATGACAGACAATAGGCAGATCGGGCGATAGTTGCCAATGTCATGGATGTCTCCCTTCTTGAATAGTAGTACGGTCCTGCTGGCTTTCCATTGGGACGGAACCTTGCATTCAGACAGGTAGCGAGTGAAGAGCTGAGCCAGTGTATTGATGAGTACTGACGGCAGGTTCTTCAGGTGTTCAGGTCTGACCTTGTCTGGGCCGGGTGCTGTTTGTTTCTTTACCGACGAAATGGCCTGTCGGATTTCGGAAGGGAGAACTTTGGGAACGACATACCCATCCTGTGGAATTTGGTATGTCGGCAAGTGGACATGGCTATCGAAGAGATTTGAGTAGAAGTCATGGATAATCTTCTCCATTGCCGTTCTGGAGGATGTGATGGATCCATCAGGACGTCGGAGGGCAGTCATCTTGGTCTTATAGTTGGCGAAGGACAGGCGGGCGTTACGAATACTTTTCCCAGCTTTTGCCGCATCTACCAGTACTTCTGCTCTTCTCTCTTTGAGGTCTTCCTTGATTGCATCTCTGCACTGCTTTGCAAGCTCGGACATTAGCTTGCGGTTGCCTGAGGACTCGGGCAGGAGGGGTAGAAGTTGTGCGCGAGCTGCGAGCGGGAGCCGGACAGCGAGGCCGGCGCGCGGGCTTGCGGGCAGGCGGCGGGCACCGTGCGAGGATCGGCCACCGGCGAGCGGGAGATCGAGCGCGTGGAGCGTGTCATGGAGCGGAGGGCGCCCCACGCCTGCCTCGCCCTCCTCTGGGGCTGCACACTGGTGGCGACCGCGGCGGCGCAGGGCAAGGAAGTTGTTCTGTTGGACTTCGCTGCATCCAAAGGGGAACTGGGCTGGCTCACAAGTCCCTATGGCAAAGGGTGGGACCTGATGCAGAACATCATGGACGACATGCCCATCTACATGTACTCCGTGTGCAACGTGGTGGCCGGCGACCAGGACAACTGGCTCCGCACCAACTGGGTATACCGCGGCGATGCCGAGCACATCTTTATAGAGCTCAAGTTCACCGTCAGGGACTGCAACAGCTTCCCCGGCGGTGCCAGCTCCTGCAAGGAGACCTTCAACCTCTACTATGCTGAGTCGGACGTGGACTACAGAACCAACTTTCAGAAGCGCCAGTTCACCAAGATCGACACCATTGCGCCTGATGAGTTCACGGTCAGCAGTGACTTCGAGGCACGTCATGTGAAGCTGAACGTGGAGGAGCGCTCTGTTGGGCCACTGCGCCGGAAGGGTTTCTACCTGGCTTTCCAGGACATCGGCGCCTCTGTGGCTCTGCTCTCCGTCCGGGTCTACTACAAGATGTGTCCTCAGCTGCTCAAGAGCCTGGCCTCCTTCCCCGAGACCATTGCCAGCTCTGACGCGCCCTCTCTGGCCACTGTGGCTGGCACCTGCGTGGCCAATGCCGTGGTGCCTCCCGGTGGGGAAGAGCCCCGAATGCACTGCGCGATGGACGGCGAGTGGCTGGTGCCCATCGGTCAGTGCCTGTGGCAGGCGGGCTATGAGAAGGTGGAAGATGCCTGCCAGGCGTGCAGCCCGGGGTTCTTCAAGTCCGAGGTGTCCGAGAGCCCCTGCCTGCCGTGCCCTGCACATACGCTGCCGTCCTCCGAGGGGGCTGCCTTCTGCGAGTGTGAGGAAGGCTACTACCGGGCACCGTTGGACTCGCTGGCCTTGCCCTGCACACATCCGCCCACCGCCCCAAACTACCTCACCGCCGTGGGCATGGGGGCCAAAGTGGAACTGCGCTGGACGCCGCCCCAGGACAACGGAGGCCGGGAGGACATCACGTACAGCGTCACCTGTGAGCAGTGCTGGCCTGAGTCGGGCGAGTGTGGGCCCTGTGAAGCCAGCGTGCGCTACTCGGAGCCGCCGACTGCCCTCACTCGCACCAGCGTCACCGTGAGTGACCTGGAGCCGCACATGAACTACACCTTCGCCATTGAGGCCCGCAATGGCGTCTCGGGGCTGGTGAGCAGCCGCAGCTTCCGCACTGCCAGTGTCAGCATCAACCAGACAGAGCCCCCCAAGGTGAAGCTGGAGGGCCGGAGCAGCACCTCGCTGAGCGTCTCCTGGAGTATCCCCCTGCCTCAGCAGAGCCGCGTGTGGAAGTACGAGGTCACCTACCGCAAGAAGGGAGACTCCAACAGCTACAACGTGCGCCGCACCGAGGGCTTCTCCGTGACCCTGGACGACCTGACCCCGGACACCACCTACCTGGTGCAGGTTCAGGCACTGACCCAGGAGGGCCAGGGTGCCGGCAGCAAGGAGCACGAGTTCCAGACGCTGTCCACGGAAGGATCGAGCAACATGGCGATGGTCGGCGGCGTGGCAGTCGGTGTCCTCCTGCTGCTGGTGCTGGCAGGAATCGGCTTCTTCATCCACCGCAGGAGGAAAGGCCTGCGAGCACGCCAGTCTTCGGAGGATGTCTACTTCTCCAAGTCAGAACAACTGAAGCCCCTGAAGACGTATGTGGACCCCCACACCTATGAGGACCCCAACCAGGTTGTGCTCAAGTTCACCACGGAGATCCACCCGTCCTGTGTCACTCGGCAGAAGGTGATCGGCGCAGGAGAGTTTGGGGAGGTGTACAAGGGGATGCTGAAGGCGTCAGGGAAGGAGGTGCCCGTGGCCATCAAGACGCTGAAGGCCGGCTACACGGAGAAGCAGAGGGTGGACTTCCTCAGCGAGGCCTCCATCATGGGCCAGTTCAGCCACCACAACATCATCCGCCTGGAGGGCGTCGTCTCCAAATACAAGCCAATGATGATCATCACGGAGTACATGGAGAATGGGGCGCTGGACAAGTACCTCCGGGAGAAGGACGGGGAGTTCAGCGTGCTGCAGCTGGTGGGCATGTTGCGGGGCATCGCGGCGGGCATGAAGTACCTGGCCAACATGAACTACGTGCATCGCGACTTGGCCGCCCGCAACATCCTGGTCAACAGCAACCTGGTGTGCAAGGTCTCAGACTTTGGGCTGTCCCGCGTGCTGGAGGATGACCCCGAGGCCACCTATACCACCAGTGGTGGCAAGATCCCCATCCGATGGACGGCGCCCGAGGCCATTTCCTACCGCAAGTTCACCTCGGCCAGTGACGTGTGGAGCTTTGGCATTGTCATGTGGGAGGTGATGACCTACGGCGAGCGGCCCTACTGGGAGTTGTCGAACCACGAGGTGATGAAGGCCATCAACGACGGCTTCCGGCTCCCCACGCCCATGGACTGCCCCTCTGCCATCTATCAGCTTATGATGCAGTGCTGGCAGCAGGACCGTGCCCGGCGCCCCAAGTTCGCCGACATTGTCAGCATCCTCGACAAGCTCATTCGAGCCCCCGACTCCCTCAAGACCCTGGCTGACTTTGACCCCCGGGTGTCCATCCGGCTGCCCAGCACCAGTGGCTTAGAGGGGGTCCCCTTCCGCACGGTGTCTGAGTGGCTGGAGTCCATCAAGATGCAACAGTACACGGAACATTTCATGGCGGCTGGCTACACCGCCATCGAGAAGGTGGTGCAGATGACCAACGAAGACATCAAGAGGATCGGGGTGCGGCTGCCCGGCCACCAGAAACGCATCGCCTACAGCCTGCTGACACTCAAGGACCAGGTGAACACAGTGGGGATCCCCATCTGAGCCCTGGCAAGGCCTCGAAACCCCGTCGGCCAAGAATACTTGAAGAAGCGGCCTGGCTTCCCTGTCCACTCTGAGCTGGGCCACCACCAGGGACCTTATTTATTTCTACTTCCACTACCCAGCCGTCGCCACACTCCAGGATGCTTTCCGGACCCGCGCGGTCGCAAGCGGCCGCGCGACACATCATAAGACACTAAATACCCATCTTCTGGAATTGTTGTACCATATTTGATAGGGTTCAAATATGGTAACACCTACAAGGGTGATTAGAGGTCACCCCAAAAGCCTCTATCCCTCTCGGAAAGACTGGCAAGCTACCGAGAGTATTCCGCCCGCACGGAAGAGCCTGGCAAGCTATCTGCTGTGTATTCGATATGCCAAAACCAGTAACTACAACTGGTCTCTCATTCACCAACATTCGGAAATCAATCAACATAATCCATCATATCAACAAAAGAAAAGATAAAGAGCATATGATCATATAATAGATGCAGAGAAAGCATTTGACAAGATCCAGCACCCGTTTATGATGAAAACCCTCCCCAAAATGGGGATAGAGTGGACTTTCCTCAATATAGTTAAAGCCATCTACCATAAGCCTATAGCAAGCATCATCCTCAATGGAGAAAAACTGAGAGCTTCCCCCTAAGATCAGGAACGAGACAAGGATGTCCACTCTCTCCACTACTATTCAATAAAGTACTGGAAGTATGTGCAATAGCAATTAGGCAAGAAAAAGATATTAAGGCATCCAGGTAGGAAAGGAACAAAACAAGCTTTCACTATTCGCAGATGATATGATACTATATTTAGAGAACCCTAAAACCTCTACCAAGAAACTTCTAGGAACAAGAGACTTGTATAGTAAAGTGGCAGGCTATAAAATCAATACCCAAAAGTCCATGGCTTTCCTATACACAAATAGTGAAAGAGAAGAAAGTGACATGAAAAAACAATCCCGGCGTGGGACGGGCACAGAGGCCCAGCTCTGGGCAACAAAGCTGAACGGCTCCAATTCCAACAGGTACAGCCCGCCCCCAAGGGCCTGGGTTCCTCTCTGGGCACGCGCAGCTAGAAACAGCCCCTAGACAGCCGCTTTTCAACCCCTGATCTGCGTGGGACGGGCACAGAGGCCCAGCTCTGGGCAACAAAGCTGAACGGCTCCAATTCCAACAGGTACAGCCCGCCCCCAAGGGCCTGGGTTCCTCTCTGGGCACGCGCAGCTAGAAACAGCCCCTAGACAGCCGCTTTTCAACCCCTGATCTGCGTGGGACGGGCACAGAGGCCCAGCTCTGGGCAACAAAGCTGAACGGCTCCAATTCCAACAGGTACAGCCCGCCCCCAAGGGCCTGGGTTCCTCTCTGGGCACGCGCAGCTAGAAACAGCCCCTAGACAGCCGCTTTTCAACCCCTGATCTGCGTGGGACGGGCACAGAGGCCCAGCTCTGGGCAACAAAGCTGAACGGCTCCAATTCCAACAGGTACAGCCCGCCCCCAAGGGCCTGGGTTCCTCTCTGGGCACGCGCAGCTAGAAACAGCCCCTAGACAGCCGCTTTTCAACCCCTGATCTGCGTGGGACGGGCACAGAGGCCCAGCTCTGGGCAACAAAGCTGAACGGCTCCTCATTCCAAGCAGGAGACGTTCCCAACTCCTCGCCCAGTGCCAGGGACTCTTTCTGGAACCGCGGCCGCGTTAGCGGCCGCGAAATATTTTCCCACTACATATGCCATAGGAACCATAAGCTAACTTCTTAGATGGAAACTTCTCTATTTTAGCTCAGCCACTAGAAACACAGTTGCCAATAACTCATAAGCCTATCTTAACTCACACTGCATATCAAGCAGCATAGTAACAGTGAACGTGAAGGACTAAAACACACCTCTCACAATGGTAAAGCAACGCAAAAGCCCACCAAACATTCACATTGAAGAGTCTAGCCCAGATGACACCAACAGTACTGTAGTGTTAGAAAACCTCTCTGACAAGGAATTCAGAAGGGAGCTACTTAGGATGCTTAGGGAATTAAAAGAAACAATGGAAAGCAATGCCAATAGAAGACAAGAGGATCTGAAGACAGAAATGAGGAAAATGCAATCAGAAATGTCAGACCTGAAAAATCTCGTAGGCGAATTGAAAAGCTCAGTGGAAGGCCTCAGCAGCAGAGTAAGAGCGGCTGAGAACAGAATCAGTGAGCTCGAAGATGAAGTTCAGAGACTCTCCAGAAAAGAGCAGAAAATGGAAAAGAGACTCACAATTCGGGAACAGATGGCAAGAGAAGATCGTGATGAAGCCAAGAGGGGTAACATAAGAATTATTGGAGTCCCAGAGGGACAGGAAGAAAACCTCGATGAAGAAGAAACTGTCAAAGACATCATTGCTACAACATTTCCAGAGCTGAAGAAAACTTGTGACCACATTCAGGAGGCCCGAAGGGTACCAGCTAGAAGAAATCCGAATAAAAATACCCCAAGACACATTCTGATCAAAATGACCAAAACCTTAGACAGAGACAAAATTCTGAAAGCAGCAAGATCGAAGAAAGAAATCTCTTACAAAGGAGCATCCTTAAAATTCACAACTGATTTTTCTGATGAAAGCCTCATGGCCCGAAAACAGTGGTGGGACATAGTAAAAAAAACTCAATGAAATAAATACCTCTCCAAAAATACTTTACCCAGCAAGACTCTCATTCACAATAGAAGGAACAACACACAGTTTCACAGACAAACAACAGCTCAGGAACTTCATAGACTCAAAACCATGGTTACAAGAACAACTAAATGGGATACTTTAAGGCAAGAAAGGCCCCTCAAATACACCAAATTTTAACATAACAATGGGACAAAATCCCATAACAATAATCTCTCTCAATGTCAATGGGCTAAATGCACCAATTAAAAGACATAGAGTGGCAGGATGGATTAGAAAATTGAACCCAACATTCTGCTGCCTGCAAGAAACGCATCTCAATAGTCAAAGCAAACACAGACTCAGAGTCAAAGGCTGGAAAACAATCCTACAGGCAAACAGCTCCCATAAAAAAGCTGGGGTAGCCATCCTTATATCGAACCACATCGATTTCAGAGTGAGGAAGGTCATAAGAGACAGTGAAGGCCATTTCTTATTGATCAGAGGATCTGTACAACAGGAAGAACTTACAATAATAAATGTATATGCACCTAATGAGAGACCAGCAAAGTACTTAAAACAACTACTCATAGATTTGGAAAAAGACATCAATAGCAACACAATACTAGTGGGAGACTTCAACACTGCTTTGTCACCTCTTGATAGATCAACCAGACTCAAGCTTAGCAAGGACATACTTCATTTGAGGGAAACAATGGAAGAAAGGGACTTAGTAGATATATACAGGACACTTCATCCACAAAAAGCTGAATACACATTCTTCTCAAGCGTACATGGAACATTCTCCAAGATAGACCACATGCTGAGCCACAAAACATGCCTCCATAAAATTAAGAAGGTAGAGATTGTATCAACAATCTTCTCAGACCATAATGCGCTGAAATTAGAAGTAAATCACACACAAAAACAGAAAACTAAATCAAACACCTGGAAATTAAACAGTGCACTATTGAACAACGAGTGGATTAGACAGGAAATCAAAGAGGAAATCAAAAGATTTCTAGAAACGAATGAAAATGAGAACACGAGTTACCAAAACTTATGGGACACAGCAAAGGCTGTGTTAAGAGGAAAGTTTATAGCTCTACAAGCATTCCTCAGGAAGGAGGAGCGAGCACACATAAGTAACCTAACCTCACAGCTTAAGAGCTTGGAGAAGGACCAAAAAAAGGAGCACAACCCGAACAGGAGAAAGGAAATAATAAAACTCAGAGCAGAGATTAACGAGATGGAAACCCAAAAAACAATCCGAAAGATCAATGAAACCAAGAGCTGGTTCTTCGAGAAAATTAACAAGATCGATAAGCCTCTAGCAAAACTCACAAAGAAAGGGAGAGAGAAAACCCTAATAAACCGAATGAGAAATGAAAAGGGGGTCATTACAACAGAAACCACAGAAATTCAGAGGATCCTCAGGGAGTACTTTGAGAAGCTTTATGCCACGGAACATCAAAACCTCGAGGAAATGGATAAATTCCTAGACTCCTACAGACTCCCAAGGCTGAACCAAGAAGACCTGGAATACCTGAACAGACCTATCACCATCAAGGAAATTGAAATGGTAATAAAAAGTCTCCCCAAGCACAAAAGTCCTGGCCCGGATGGATTCACTAGTGAATTCTTCCAAATCTTTAAAGAGGACTTACTCCCGATGCTCTTTAAGCTTTTCCACGAAATTGAAATATCAAAAACACTTCCGAACAGTTTCTACGAAGCAAATATCACACTGATACCAAAAGCAGACAGAGATACCACAAAGAAAGAGAATTACAGGCCGATATCCCTGATGAACACAGATGCAAAGATCCTCAACAAACTACTAGCAAATAGAATCCAACTACTCATCAAAAAGATCATACACCATGACCAAGTAGGATTCATCCCAGGGATGCAAGGATGGTTTAACATTCGGAAATCAATCAACATAATCCACCATATCAACAAAAGAAAAGATAAAAAGCATATGATCATATCAATAGATGCAGAGAAAGCATTTGATAAGATCCAGCACCCCTTTATGATGAAAACCCTAGCCAAAATGGGTATAGAGGGGACCTTCCTCAACATAATTAAAGCCATCTACCACAAGCCTACAGCAAGCATCATCCTCAATGGGGAAAAACTGAGAGCCTTCCCTCTAAGATCAGGGACGAGACAGGGATGCCCACTCTCTCCACTGCTGTTCAATATAGTACTGGAAGTACTTGCAATAGCGATTAGGCAGGAAAAAGATATTAAGGGCATTCAGGTAGGAAAGGAAGAAATCAAGCTCTCACTATTCGCAGATGATATGATACTCTACTTAGAGAACCCAATAACTTCCACCAAAAAACTCCTAGAAACAATAGACTCGTATAGTAAAGTTGCAGGTTATAAAATCAATACCCAAAAGTCCATGGCTTTCCTATACACAAACAGTGAGAGAGAAGAAAGCAACAT